GGGGGGGGGGGAGGGAGCACTGAGAGCTCCCGGTGTGTTAGGATCATGCTAGGCATGTTGACACATGAGGTTCCATTTAGTCATTACCACCATGACTGAGAGTATTTATAGACAAAGTCATTGAAGCTCAGAGGGATGAAACCCTTTGCCTAAGTTCACATTGTTAGGTGGTGGATCCAATCCCACATTTGCTTGATTTTACAAGAACAGAATAAACAATACAAGTCAGTAGAAAAACCTCAGAAACCAGATCCTCTACCTGAGGCTCAGTGTTGGTGGAGAATATTTCCGGAACGGGATATGCTCTTTCATGGGTTCATCCCCATTCATACACCGATCTCCTTGTATTTCCCAACGTCCTCTACCCACAAGCTCCTGTTCGCCTTTTACCAACCTCCAATTTCTTTGTGCTGATCCTTACTGTATAATTTAGTACCACCTCTTATAATGGATGTTTTCCCAGGATTGTTTCAATGGAGTACAAACTCCCAGAAGCAGGATTTGCATGAATCTATGAATTCTCTGCCTGTGACAGTACTTGGCATACAGAAGGTGCTTCAGTAGATTCTTGCTGAATAAATGACTGGACAAGTGAAAGAATGTATCTTGTCCTCAGATTCTTTTCACCACAGTTGATCTAGTAGTCTCATCCTCCATATTAGCCCTGACGAAATACATAGAGGTGAAGTGACATGAGCAAAATCCCAAAAAGAGCCAGAAGAAAGCCAGCCAAAATGAAACAGAATAAGTAACAACAGCAATGAACGTCCCCTGTCCCCCAACACTTTGTAATGCTCAACCACCCAGATCTTTCATCCCAAACTCAGGCTGTTCTCTATAAGTCCTGGAATTGTAGCAGAGCTTGGTAGCTACCTGCCAATATTCATTCTCTTCTTCTTGCTTACTAATGTAAATGAATTGGGGCTTGCAGTGTGCTCAGCTCAAGAAGTACATTTCCTAGCCTCCTTAGCAACAAGGTGTAGTACTGTGATTAAGTTCTGGCCAATGAGATATAAGAAGTTTTGGGGTGGAATGTTTGCAAAATCACCTTGAGAAGGAGGGTGTGGGGGAGATGGCAGATACAGCAGACTCCTCCCTCCCTCCCTCCCTCCCTCCCTTCCTACCTTCCTTCCTTCCTTCCTTTTTCTTTCTTTCTCTCTTTCTTTCTTTTTTTCTTTCCTTCTTTCTTTCTTCTTTTTCTTTTCTTTTTAAAATGATCAAAATACATGCATTTAATATACATCACAAGGGTTCAACCAAGGCTTAATTTAAAAGACAAAAACAAAACAAAATTAATACCACAGCTCAAGATATAGCATCCTATACAGAAATCAGAAAAAGAACAAACCATCTAAGGAAAAATTAAAAAGATGACACAAGTACAGGCTGGGCAGCCTGGGTCAGGGCTCCTGGCTGGTGACCTGCTTTGAGTCGATTTCTTGCAGGTACTTCTTAAAAGCTGTGGGTTTTTTCCAGAGCTCGGCAGCATGGATAGTTCAAGGGACTATCAATGTTGGGTTCTAGCAGGTCCTGGATGGAGAGCAGAATGGTCCTGATGTCATATAGGGCAGACCTCTTGTCCTTCAGGATGTCCAGGCATATGTTATTCTCTAGGTGTCACTTTGGGGTGGTAGCAGGGTGTGAGGAACTTCACTGTGGGTGAATTGTAAGGGTGGTCACTGGGGAACTCTAGTGAGAGCTTATACCTCAGGTCTTCATATACTGCTCCAACCGCTCCATGGAGGGTCCCTACCCATTTGAAAAGGCTGTCTGATTCAGGGAAGGCAGAAATCCCTTTATCACCAGACATCATGAGGGTCATCAGCTCCTGCTGTAGCCTTTTGCCCACAGGACCCCAGGTGACTGCCATGTTCTGAAAAGAAGAGGGAAGAGAAAAGGAAGGAGGGAAGAAAGGGAGAGAGAGAGGGAGGGAGGGAGGAAGGAGAGAGAAAGAGAAAGAAAGAAAGAAGGAAAGAAAGAAAGAAAGAAAGAGAGAGAGAGAGAAAGAGAGAAAGAGAAAGAAAGAAAGAGAAAGAAAGAAAGAGAAAAAGAAAGAAAGAAGAAAGAGAGAAAGAAGAGAAATAAGAAAGAAAAAGAAAGAAAAAAGAGAGAAAGAGAAAGAAGAAAGAAAGAAAGAAAGAAAGAAAGAAAGAAAGAAAGAAAGAAAGAAAGAAAGAAAGGAAAGAAAGAAAGAAAAAGAGAAAGAAAGAAAAAGGTGGAAAGATTGTCTCCTTTTAGAACATGGCACAGTGATAAAGTCAAAGAAGTAATCTTGGATCATGAGGTAACCTTCAAGGTGGACCTGTGCTGAGGATGGAGGAACTTAAAAGACAGAACTTGGTTTCTTAAAGACCATGGAGGCCTGAATTGCTCACTT